TTGTGCTCAGAACACATCCCTGGGGGACACCTTCAGCTTGGACAAAGTCTGGGGAGAGCACATTATTAACCCGAACATGGAAATATCTACCAGTTAAAAAGTTCTTAAGGAAGGATGATAGATTGCCTTGGAGACCTAAGGAGTGGGCCTTGGGCCAAAATATTATACCTCCAAGTTGTGTCATATGCCTTCTCAAGGTCAAAAAATATGGCAATAACTGAGTGGTTATTTGCAAACGCATTACGAACATATGTGTCTAAGTGTAGTAAAGGGTCTATGGTAGAACAGCCCTTACGAAAGCCATATTGACTAGCGGAGAGACCGTTGTGTGTCTCTAAATACCACATTAAACGTCGATTTACCAGACGTTCCGTTACTTTGCAAACTGCACTGGTAAGAGGAATGGGACGATAGTGGGAGGCATCATGTCCCGTAGTGCCCGGTTTGCAGAACGGGAGAACAATGGCAGATTTCCACAGCTGGGAAAGAACTCCTTGTGACCAAATAAGATTGAAGAGGTGTAAGAGGACTGCAAGGGCTGACTTATGTAAACGTTGTAACATCCGAATATGAATGTTGTCAGGCCCAGCTGCCGATGATTGGCAAGCTGAGAGTGTCGCCTCTAGTTCTTGAAGTGTAAAAGGCACATTATACGGTTCTTCTTTGTCAGACTTTGAGGAAAGAAACGAGGGGCATAGATGGAGCCCCTGAGAAATATGGACCAGATGATTGCCAATTTCAGTGGCAACATCAAGAGGCTTTGCTATATCAACACCGGCAACCCACAGAACAGGAGCCGGGTCAGGAGAGTATTTACCACTCAATTTCCACACTTTTTTCCAGACTGCACTCATAGAGGAAGCAGAGGTGATGGTGGAAACATAATCTCGCCAGCAAGTGCGTTTAGTGTCATGAATGACACAGCGAGCGACCACACGCTTCTGCTTAAACTCAAGAAGTTTCTCAGCGGCTCTATTGTACCGGTACCTGCCCCACGCAGCGCATTTCAAACGTACTGCACGAGCACAAGCAGGAGACCACCAAGGCACACACTTCTGAGAATGCCTGCCCGAGGTTTGGGGTATAGAATGAGAAGCTACGGTTAAAACTGAGGACGAGAAGAGGTGTATAAGCTCATCAATGGAGGACGAAGAAGGAACCTCACTAAAAGTAGTTAGTCGTGTGTAAAGGTCCCAATTTGCCTGATCAAATTGCCAGCGTGGGCTACGGAGAGGTGGTGAATATGAAGGAGAAGTAAGAATGATTGGAAAATGATTGCTGTCATGTAAGTCCAGGAGAACAGACCAGGTGAGGTCTAGTGCGGTAGAGGAAGAGCAGACTGAGAAATCAGTGCAAGAGTGAGTATGAGTACGAGGATCAAAATGGGTTGGAGTACCTGTATTTAAAACATGGAGGGGGTGGGAAGCAAGAAAAGCCTCCAACTGAATGCCATGGGAATCACAATGAGACTCCCCAGAGGAAATGATGGGCATTAAAATTGCCAAGTAACAGAAGTGGTGGCGGTAAGGACGAAACAAGAAAGGCAACTTCCGGGATAGATAATGCCCGAGAAGGAGAGAGATACAAAGAACAGAGTGTATACCACCTATTTAAGTGGATACGGGCAGCTGTGTAATGTAGAGAAGTACGAACAAATAGCTGATGGTATGGAATATCAGTGCGTGGAAGAAGGGCACTTTCATTAAAGGTCCCATCACTAAAAGGATCTGAAGAATACAATAAATTTTAGCCTGTGATGGGATAGATAACTGCAGAGTGTAATTTTGGTTCTTGTAAGCAAACACCAACAGGGGAAAACTGGGAGAGCAACATCTGAAGCTCACCTCGATTACCCCTGAGGCCGCGTATATTCCACTGTAAATAGGTCATGATTAGCAACGATAAAGATACCAAAAATCCGCAGGTAAGGGTACCTACAGACTAAAGGGGTTAGAAAAGTCCACGTGCGGCGGTAGCGGAAAACGTTCAAGCAGCGAAGGAACGGTGCGCTGTGAAAAAAGGAGTTGCGCAGATGGAGGAGAGGAAAGAGAAGGAACAGGGAGTGGATCAGTGTCCATTGATGGTTTGGTCTCTGCAATATATTCAGAGATAGCTTCAAGTGTTTTGGAATTCAAAGACATCACATGGTAGACAATATTGGAGATGGAAGGAGGAGGGTGAGTAAAGATTGGAACCGTAATGGACTGTACCAAAGTAGGGGTGGACGAAAGGGTGGAGGGAACTGGAGAAGAAGTGTGGGAGGGGACTGAAGAGGCAGAAACCTGGGAGGTGGCAGAAGAGGAAGGAACTGGGGAGGGGACAGAGGAGGAAGGCACAGCACGAGGAGGAGGGTGAACCTCCACACTTGTAACAGAGCCAGTGAGAGGGGAAGAACTAGGTACAGAGACCGGGAAGGTAAAATTTGGAGGTGGAAGAAGAGAAGGAGGGGTTAAAGGAGATTTGAGCAATGGAGATTTTTTGAACTTCTGAGAAGTAGAGGAACGATTGGGAGGAGGAGGAGTACGAAGCCTTGTTGATACCGGGGCATGCGAGGGAGGACACAAAGAAGTGAGAACAGACTGAGATGTTGAAGCAGGGACTTCTGAGCCCAGGACAGCAAAAGAATTAGAGACAGAAGTGACTATGGGAGGGGCAACCACAGAGGAAGTTGCAGAAGATGGGACTGCAGTAGTGGGGGGACGTTTAGAAACACGAGAATAAGAAATACGGGGCAGTCTCCCTTGGAGGCGCAGTTGAGAAACTGCCATAGAATAAGGGAGACCTTCAGCTTCTTTGAGGCAACGGATTTCTCGCTCATTTAAGTAGACCTGGTAACGGCAAGAGTAAGAAGGGTGAGCCTCATGACAATTAAGGCAAGAGGGAGGTCGACTACAAGACGTATTAGAATGGTCATCAGCACCACAGACTGGGCATTCGGCTATAGATCTGCAATATTTTGCAGGGTGACCAAATCGCCAGCAGTTTCTACACTGTTGCAGTGTAGGGATCACCTTTCGAACGTGTAAATGATGTCCTGCTACATAAACAAGAGGATGGGAGTTCACGGCTGTCGAAAGTTAATCGAGCCACATTGCAAGGGTAACGTCTCCGCCCGCGGGCAGGAAGGACGTAAGTGTCTACTTTGAGGATTGGGAGATCTTGGAGTTCCAGCTGTTCAAGAATGTCATTACCACATGTCTGGAAATTCTGTTGGATTATGGTATGGGGCAGAATAACAGTACCACTACAAGAATTGAGGGAATGATGTTTTTCGATAGTGACAGGAATAGTATCGATATGTGAAAGAAGAGAAAGATCACGAGCTTGGGTGGCATTATGGACAGTGATGATGCGGGTACCGCTCTTGAGAGCGTGAAAGGAAATATCTCTACCAACATGGCGTAGGAGCACCTTGCCAATACTATGGCCAGAAAGATAGGCAATAGAGGAAGTCAGTCGTAAAGTAAAGAATTTAGTCCATTGTGCATTCCGAAACTGAGCATGGAAAGGGAGAGTACAACGTGTCGGTCTTTTCTGAGTAGAACGAGAAGGTGGCAAAGAAATATCATCGGGCAATTGTCGTTGGCGTTTAGGAGTGGGACCGGAGTTGGTCCGGCGTGGGACGGGCTGGCGATTTGAAAATTGCCACACCATAGAGGGAGAGGCAGGAAGCATAATCAAAGGAGAACGGAGGTCAGACAAATCGAAGGAGTCAGTCGAAACCCCGGTACGTGAAGCGGGTGACGAAACAGCACCAGAAAGAGGTACAGGGGCCTTAGGAGTGTCCGAAGAGTGGTCAAAAGATGAGGTGAGGTCAGAACGGGATGCAGTAACAAGGTGCCCGGGGGTAGTGGGGTCATGGAATGGGAACTCCATGATTAGGTTACTTCTTTCTTTTTGTTTTTAAGAAAAAAAAAAAGAAAGAAGAAAAGAAAATAAAAAAAAAGAATAAAAAAGGGGGAGGGGGACTGGGAAGGGATAGTTCCTAGGAGGAATGAAAGGACCAGAAATCTCCCTCCGTGCCCAAGAGGACCTCGGCACCGCAAGTAGCACAGATGCAGCATGGAACCCGTGCCATACCCTACCCTTCATGGCAGTAAACCAGCAATAAGATAAGATAAGATAAGATTTCGTTTGGATTTTTAACCCCGGAGGGTTAGCCACCCAGGATAACCCAAGAAAGTCAGTGCGTCATCGAGGACTGTCTAACTTATTTCCATTGGGGTCCTTAATCTTGTCCCCCAGGATGCGACCCACACCAGTCGACTAACACCCAGGTACCTATTTGCTGCTAGGTGAACAGGACAACAGGTGTAAGGAAACGTGTCGAAATGTTTCCACCCGCCGGGAATCGAACCCGGGCCCTCCGTGTGTGAAGCGGGAGCTTTAGCCACCAGGCCACCGGGCCACCAGGATAGCAACCTCACATTGTCGAGCTACCTCGGTGGACAAAAGAGAGGGCGGCCGGATATCCACCACAAAGCATACCTCCTTTGGCCACCACCCCAGGAATCTGAAAGATGGCTTCCAGAGATACACCCATCGCCCGAAAGACACCCAAAGCCACCCTCTGGGATACAGGAGAGGGATCGGGACATCCCCAGGCGATCCAGATTCCACGGAGAACTACGCCACCGCCAAGAACCTCAACGGAATGGGATGGACCCCGGTACCCTTTCCCCTACCTAGGAACTAGCATGCCTGTGGGAAAAATCCCAAAGGCCAAAAAGAGGAAGGGCAAAAGAGTGGTGTGGGGAGGAGGAGGAGGAAAGGAAAAAGAGGAGGATGGGGAGGATGGGATAGGGAAGGGGGGATTGGGGGGTAATTAGGTTTGGTCTGAGGAAGGAGACCGACAGGTCTAATTCCTCAGACCAAGAGCCTCTTTGCCATGCCAAGGATCCCCCCTTGAAGAGGAGCTCTTGTCTCAAAATAATGTGATAAACCACCAATATGTACATTTTTTCTGTGACTTCTGTGTAATAAGTAAATTTATTTACCAGGTGAGCACTCTGCCAGAGTACACAAAAAAGAGGTTTGGTGGACGCAGGATCCAAATTTACCTGGCAATGCTTTCGCTCATCCTCTACGTTTTCACAAAGATCTCGGTAAGTAGCTGACAGTGTGCATCCTTGTGATTTTTAAAAGAGAGCATAAATTTTGGACAAAAAAGTTTTGAATTTCCACTTTACTATTCAAGTATATATAGATTATTTTAGTTTTAATATTTAGTAATGCAAAAAAAAAAAAAGCACTAAAAGGTGTGTGTGTGTGTGTGTGTGTGTGTGTGTGTGTGTGTACTCACCTAGTTGTACTCACCTAATTGAGGTTGCAGGGGTCGAATCCAAGCTTCTGGCCCCGCCTCTTCACTGGGCGCTACTAGGTCACTCTCCCTGAACCGTGAGCTTTATCATACCTCTGCTTAATTAAAGCTATGTATGGATCCTGCCTCCACTACATCGCTTCCCAACTATTCCACTTCCTGACTACTCTGTGGCTGAAGAAATTCTTCCTAACATCCCTCTGATTCATCTGTGTCTTCAACTTCCAACTGTGTCCCCTTGTTGCTGTGTCCCATCTCTGGAACATCCTGTCTTTGTCCACCTTGTCAATTCCTCTCAGTATTTTGTATGTCGTTATCATGTCCCCCCATCTCTCCTGTCCTCCAGTGTCGTAAGGTTGATTTCCTGTAACCTCTTCTTGTAGGACATACCTCTGAGCTCTGGAACTAGTCTTGTTGCAAACCTTTGCACTTTCTCTAGTTTCTTTACATGCTTGGCTAGATGTGGGCTCCAAACTGGTGCCGCATACTCCAATATAGGCCTAACGTACACGGTGTACAGGGTCCTGAACGATTCCTTATTAAGATGTCGGAATGCTGTTGTGAGGTTTGCTAGGCGCCCATATGCTGCAGCAGTTATTTGGTTGATGTGCGCTTCAGGAGATGTGCCTGGTGTTATACTCACCCCAAGATCTTTTTCCTTGAGTGAGGTTTGTAGTCTCTGGCCCCCTAGACTGTACTCTGTCTGCGGTCTTCTTTGCCCTTCCCCAATCTTCATGACTTTGCACTTGGTGGGGTTGAACTCCAGAAGCCAATTGCTGGACCAGGTCTGGAGCCTGTCCAGATCCCTTTGTAGTTCTGCCTGGTCTTCGATCGAATGACTTCTTCTCATCAACTTCAGTCATCTGCAAACAGGGACACTTGGGAGTCTATTCCTTCCATCATGTCGTTCACAAATACCAGAAACAGCACTGGTCCTAGGACTGACCCCTGTGGGACCCTGCTGGTCACAGGTGCCCACTCTGACACCTCACCACGTATCATGACTTGCTGCTGTCTTCCTGACAAATATTCCCTGATCCATTGTAGTGCCTTCCCTGTTATCCCAGCTTGGTCCTCCAGTTTTTGCACTAATCTCTTGTGTGGAACTGTGTCAAACGCCTTTTTGCAGTCCAAGAAAATGTTACGGCTGTTACTGCTGGCCACACGTAATCCAATGTACGAACCACAACCCGGCTGGTCAGGTACTGACTTTAGGCGCCTGTCCAGTGCCTGCTTGAAGACAGCCAAGGGTCTATTGGTAATCCCCCTGATGTATGCTAGGAGGCAGTTGAACAGTCTTGGGCCCCTGACACTTATTGTGTTGTCTCTTATCATGCTAGAGGCACGATAAGGGGGCTGTTGCACCATCTGCCAAGTCTTTTGCTTTTGTAGGGAGTGATTTTCATGGGCAAGTTTGGGGCTAGTCCCTCTAGGATTTTCCAGGTGTATATAATCATGTATCTTTCTCTCCTGCGTTCTAGGGAGTACAGGTTTAGGAACTTCAAGCGTTCCCAGTAATTGAGGTGGTTTATCGCAGTTATGCATGCCATGAAGGTTCTCTGTACATTTTCTAGGTCAGCAATTTCACCTGCCTTGAAAGGTGTTGTTAGTGTGCAGCAATATTCCAGCCTAGATGGAGCAAGTGACCTGAAGAGTGTCATCATGGGCTTGGCATCCCTGGTTTTGAAGGTTCTCATTATCCATCCCGTCATGCGATTGATACAATGTTATGGTCCTTGAAGGTGAGATCCTCTGACATGATCACCCCCAGGTCTTTGACATTAGTTTTTCACTCTACTGTGTGGCTGGAATTTGTTTTATACTCCGATGAAATTTTAATTTCCTGACGTTTTCCATGTCGGAGTAATTGGAATTTCTCATCATTGAAATTCATATTGTTTTCTGCAGCCCATTTATAGATCTGGTTGATGTCCACCTGGAGTCTTGCAGTGTCTTCAATGGAGGACACTGTCAGGAAAATTCGGGTGTCATCTGCAAAGGAAGATGCTGCGCTGTGGCTTATATCTATTGACAATACTTGGGGAAAAATCATTACCATCCCTCTCAAGGCAGGAGAAACAAGATCTGGAAAAGGTATAGAGAAAATTAACTACCTGTGTAGAGCTAATAAAACATTTAAACTTATGAGAATGCTGCAGAGTGCTTGAAATGTAGTCTCTGGAGTAAAGAAGAGAGAGATACCTGATAATACAGTGGACCCCTGACTTACGATATTAATCCGTTCCTGAGAGCACATCGTAAGACAAAATTATTGTAAGGTGAATTAATTTTCCCCATAAGAAATAATGGAAATCAAATTAATCCATTCCAGACACCCTAAAGTATGAAAAAAATATTTTTACCACATGAAATATACATTTTCCTACACACAGATATAAGGATACATGCACAATATATATTGTGTAATGAAGAATAAATGACACTTACCTTTATTGCAGATGTGGTGATGAGTGATGGGATGGGAGGAGGGGAGATGGAAGTGTATTAATTTTTGGAAGGGGAATCCCCTTCCATAAGGACTTTAGGTAGCAAGTCCTTTTCCGGGGTTACTTCCCGTCTTCTTTTAATGCCACTGGGAACAACTTGAGAGTCACTGGACCTCTGTCGCACCAAAAATCTGTCCATAGAGCTCTGTACCTCGCGGTCCTTTTAAGATTTTCCTAAAGTGGTTCACAACATTGTTTTTGTAAAAGTCACCAGCACGGCTTGCAATAGCTGTATCAGGGTGATTTTCCTCCATAAAGGCTTGCAGTTCAACCCACTTTGCACACATTTCCTTGATTATAATAATAATAATAATCATTGCTTAGTTAATCTTAAGTTAATTTTAAGCCAGCCCGTAATGCTATGCATAGTATAAGTGGCTTTGGCATACTGCTCTTATCTGTATTTTTTTTGTACCTCTGTATGTGTGCACAAATTGGAAATAAATAAATAAATAAATAAATAAAATCTTTGAAGAAGGCAACTTCCTCAATTTCTCTCTCCTCTTCTCTGAAGCAGTTTCCTCAGTTGTGGCCTCTTGCTGTTGCAGATGCTCTTTCAGCTCATCAGTGGTTAGTTCTTCATCATTTTCCTCCACCAACTCTTCCACATCCTCCCTGCTAACCTCCAACCCCATGGACTTTCCCAATGCCACAATAGATTCCATAACTGGCATAGGCTCCTGAGGGTTAGCCCCAGACCCTTCAAAATCTCTCTCTTCTACACATTCTGGCCACAATTTCCTCCAAGCAGAATTTAAGGTCCTCTTAGTCACTCTCTCCCAAGCCTTGCCTATAAGGTTTACATAATTGAGGATACTAAAGTGATCTTTCCAAAACTCTTTTAGGGTCAATCAAGTGTCTGAGGTTACTTCAAAGCACTTTTGAAACATTGCTTTGGTGTACAGTTTTTTGGAAATTTGAAATGACCTGCTGGTCCATGGGCTGGAGGAGAGGAGTGGTATTAGGAGGCAAGAATTTCACTTTGATAAAACTCAAGTTCCCCGAAATTTGCTCTTGTCAAGTCTGAAGGATGACCAGGAGCATTGTCTAGTACCAGGAGGCACTTAAGCTCCAATTTATATTCCAGGAGGTAATTTTTCACAGTGGGGCCAAACACATGGTAAAACCAGTCATAGAAAAAGCCCCTAGTGACCCATGCCTTACTGTTTGCCCTCCACATCACACACAAATTGGCCTTGACAACATTGTTTTTCCTGAACACACTGGGAGTTTCAGAGTGATACACGAGTAGAGGCTTCACTCTGCAATCACTACTAGCATTACTACACAACATTAAGGTTAGCTTGTCTTTCATAGGCTTGTGTCCTGGCAGTGCTTTTTCCTCCTGTGTAATGTAGGTCCTGTTTGGCATTTTCTTCCAAAACAGGCCTGTTTTGTCACAATTAAACACTTGTTGGGGTTTTGCTCCTTCAGCCTCTATGTACCCCTGGAATTCCTGCACATATTTTTCAGCCACTTTTTGGTCCAAACTGGCAGCCTCACCATGCCTTATCACACTATGTATGCCACTACGATTCTTAACCCTTTCAGGGTCCAAGGCCAAAATCTGAAGTGGTGCTCCAGTGTCCAAGAAATTTTGAAAAAAAAAAAAAAAATTCTTACAGAATTAACCCTTTGAGGGTCGACAGGCCCTCTCCAAGACTCGTTCTCAGGGTTGGCCAAATTTAAAAAAAAAATAATTTTTTTCTTATGAAAAGATAGAGAATCTTTTCCCGATCATATTGACACCAAAAGTATGAAATTTGATGGAAAACTTACGGAATTATTCTCTCGCAAAGTTAGCGGTCTCGACGATGTTTACACCGGTAATTTTGCCCACTTTGAGCCCTATTTTCGGCCAATTCCAGTGTACTAGTCAACAGAAATCATAACTATTTCTCTAGAACTCTATTTTTGCTATGGAATGAGTACAAGAAACCACCCATTTACTGATTTCAGCTATCCAATACAGTGGTCAGAATTTAGCAATTTTGCCAATTTCACACAAATTTCAAAAGATGCCAATTTCCAAATAGGGTCCAGAATAAACAAGAAAGACATTCCTGGCACTAAAATAACATTTCCTCTGTTCATTAGTCACATGTCCAGGCCCCTCTTATATTTCTTTGGCTTTCCACTTTTAATTTTTATTCTTACAAAAAATAGAAGATTTACTGTTATGCAGACTGCTGCATTAGTGTAGAAATGGTATAAATAATATCAGCACACTTGTGAAAGAATATTAGACTCACCAGTTGATGTGTATTGGACGCTTGGC